ATTTCGAGTGTTCCTTTCCATCCTGAATTATCTGACTTCTTAGATACTGAAAATTAGCGATTCGTTCTAATTTTTCATCCCTTATCTTTTTGTACCTGTGCCTGTTACTATATTTACATAATATTGTGTTGAAACCTAAGCATGTATTTAAAATAAATATTAATGTACGTATTAAAAATAAATAAAAACGATCTTAAAAACAAAGGTATAACTTATTTTTATGTGCGTAGAGATACGAAAAGAATACTGTCTTTAAAGCTAATAAATCAATATTGTACTAACTTCCTGATAATTGCCTCATCCTTTCACAATCAGACCCCTCTTCAATAAAAAAACCTTTTTAATAATTATTTGGTAGGTATTTAAATGTTTTAATCACGAAATTGCAGGAAGTCACTCATTAAATTAATTATAATTACAGATAAACTAGGCAATTTGCAAATAAACGCCTGTATAATGAAATAACATCTTTAAATAATAACAGTACAACTCGCACAACTGTCTTTTGTAACCTCTTAAAAGAATACTGACAGTTATTGATGTTAAGCACATCCGTAGCCGAGCTGTAACTTTAATTAAATGTTGAAAAGCACCACGTACACCAGTTAGTAACAACACGTTAACCGTCTTTACATTAATATTATAAATTTATCTAAACCATTTCAGATATAGAAAATACTACAAATGGCGCAGTAAACGCCATCTGTAGCATGATGCTACATTTTAGGATTACGTATGCCCTTGTGTGGATATCTACTTGCTGAGAACGAATTCCGGCGTAGCCAACCTAAACTTAATATTCACGTTAGCTTAATCGAATAAAATAATTCGAAGAGGTCTATATTCGATCGAAACTGCCAGACGCGGATCGCGATTTCGATCTTTTTGGATCTCATCAGCGCGTCGCAGGCAGCTTCGGCAGAACACAGACTAACTTTTACCTGCTGTCTTAACAGCGCGTTTTAGCGCAGTAAACGCCATCTGTAGCACGAAGTAGTTGTAGTATTTTCTAAAACGCCCTGTTAAGGCAGCAGGTAAAGGTTGGTCTGTGTTCTGTCGGAGCTACCTGCGACGCGCTGATGAGAAGATCCAAAAAGATCGAAATCGCGATCCGCGTCTGGCAGTTTCGACAGAATACAGACCACTTCGAATTATTTTATTCCATTTCAGATATGTCAACAATTGTATAGTGTAAAGTGCAGATAATTTACCGCAACGGTCATTATTTCACGCCTTTGCGCCATTTCCGCATAATTCGGGTCCGAAAAGAATCGCGCTGGTTTCAGATGATGGGAACCACATTAACGTTTACGGCAACGGCGGCGTCTCGTCACAATGGGGGCCGCCGATATGAAAGAAAGCAAGAATCTCGCCCAAATCCGTTACTCAATAAAAATAATCACGCTAGACTGGCCACCAGAAGAAGCTCGAAATTAATTTTGGGCATGGCATGGAAAACGAACGTTCGTCTGTCCCAAGTGCGCGATCGCTTCTCTCCACCGACAAGGTGACAAAAACAAGAATAGAACAACGTCCACTATAAATTAATTATTTATTGAATGCCCTGTAGCAGAGTTGGTACACAGCTGCTACGGGGCATTCAATAAATAATTCAATTTGATGGGGAAAAGCAAATTAACCGATCGATACAAAGGTTTCATCAAGGAGAACATAGAACGGAGAACGTTTACGATAAAACTTTTTCTTCCGTGAAGAGACCCTTTCAACATACGGTTATATTGTACCTTTAGAAGGGCCAACGCCCTTCGTTTATGGCGTCACCGATAGCCACTCACTCACTTAAACTCAATTAAAGCAATTTATGCGCTTAATAATACTAGCATTTGCTAGTAAACGAGATACTTTAGCGGAATTCAATTGCTATTCACTTGATTAAAACTGTTGTTCTGTACATGGAGATAGTTTTACATCTCCTGCAACTTGACTTTCGACTTTTTGAAATACAAAATAGGTCATAAATTTACACACAATTAATGTAAAGGTACAAATTTTGCATTTAAGGTAGGATTTGTATCTCTAAGAGCATAGGATCGCTCTACAAATAATTAATTCCATGTCATACGAGTTTTGACCGTGAGAGGGACAACAATAAAAAAAACAATCGACCAAGTGCAAGTCGAACTCGTACACCAAGGGCTAAGCTGTTCTGAGACGAATTAAGCCTCAAAAATTTTTTCAGTTTTTTCTGAATATGTCTTAAGTTTTCTTTCAAAATCAACCCCCAAAATGCATATAATCATCATGATAAGGTCGTCAGTTCAAAGACTGGTTGATCACGCACGCATATAATCATCATGATAAGGTCGTCAGTCCTAAGACTGGTTGATCACGCACTTCCACTCTTTCCTATCCTGAGTTAATCTTCGCATTTCCCTAAAACTAGAACAACCCTTAACTATCTTCTTCCATAGAGTCCTCTGTTCTATTCTTTCTAATATTTCTTCATTTCTAACCTTCGGTATCCTCATCATTCGCCTGTAACACCACATTTCGAAAGCTTCTAACCTTTTTTTTCCACCGCACCCACTGTCCATGTTAAAATTATTAATTATTAAACTGGAATAGAGTTATAAGTTGAAAAAATGGAACCACTTTTACTTTATACCATATTTTTATTAAAGGACCTATCATTAATAATTATCAACAACGTGATTTAAACTTTGTATTCATGATCCAGTATTTGATTTTGTCCAGTATCAATGCAGTTAGAGGCGTCTTAATTTTTGTGAATTGTTATTTACAGTCAATATATTCATAATATTAATCTTGTGCCATTACAGGTAGGTCTTGGGCAAGAAGTACGAATTAATTCCACCTGAGACTTTTATTATTTTAAAGCGGATTAAAACGGATTCATTCCAGCGATAAGCATTAAGCTTACGTTGGTAATCGACATATTGCCCGTTTTTTACAGTTCTCTGTATAACGAGACTTACTCTCTCGCAGTCATTCTTGCAAAAGAGCCTGTGGGTGGTGTTGTCTAATATCTGCTCAATCGATTCGGCAAACGTAAGCCAGTCTATAACGATACTGACATAACACTTTGCTCAGTTCATACTTTTATACGCTCAAAACAACGTATGTTGTATTTTTTGTTTCTCTTATTTGCATTTTGCTTTCTTATAACGGTACTGCCAACGTATTAAATCCACCGGTTACCACGTGTTCGTCACAATGATCTACCGCGAGATAACGATCACACTATTGAATAACAGCAAGTGATCGAGGAAGCAGAGATGGATAACTGTACGAGCTTTTTAACAAGAACTTTTTCTTTCACTGCTCAAGCATCCACTTGTTTACTATTGTATAACGAAAAAATTCCGCTCTTCAAACATGATCTCAAAAGAAGAAGTTATCGAGCGCGATCTAAACCATCATGCCATGATGTGTTCTAATGCAGACGTTACGCAAAATTATACTAGGTACTTTCAACCATCTGTTGTTTAAATAGCGGATCAATAACTTATTATTATGCAACGAAAAAGATCTTCGTTTAGAAAAATACAATAGAAAGATAAGGAACAGAGTACCATACCTATATACGCAGGAATACATCCAAATTTAGAAGAAAGGCATCTATATTTTAGGCCATACGGTGTTACAAAACTTCTGATATTGGTGGAGATTAACGTACATCTCGTCGACTTTTTTGAAGTTTTAGTATGTTCCCTAGATAAAAAGTTTCAGTCTCTCAGAGGCTTTCGGAGTCTTTCAGCGTCTCTGAGAGCGTCTCTCACAGTAAGTTATTGCCTAGGTGTTTTTATGGATCTCTGACAGTCTCTGTATGAGAGACTCGAACGAATAAAATTGTTAATTCAGAGATTCGAGTCTCTCACAGAGAGACTGAATGAATAAAACTTAAAAATTGAGAGACTCGAGTCTCTCGTAGAAAGACTGGGTTCTCTGAAATATGTTGAACTTTTTAACCATGTCTATCGAAACACCACTTACTGAGAGATTCGAGTCTCTCGTTCAGAAACTGGATACGAAATGAGGGTCTCTCTATGAGCGACTCGAGTCTCTCGTTCAGAGACCAGATACGAAATGAGGATCTCTCTATGAGCGACTCGAGTCTCTCGTTCAGAGACGCTAAACAGTTTTTTTGACAGTCTCTCTCAGCGACACCTGAGAGACTCGATGAGAGACGGAGACTCGAGTCTCGCCTTCAGAGACTCTGAGAGACTGAACATTNTATTACATTGGTAGTCCTGAGGAAGCTTTTTCATCTTAAGGCGAAACACTGGTAGTCCTGAGGAAGCTTTTTCATCTTAAGGCGAAACATTGGTAGTCCTGAGGAAGCATTTTCATCTTAAGGCGAAACATTAATAGAAGATTATAATTTTATAAAAAAACTTTCAACCCAAATTTGATTTTAATTCTTCAAATTGACACTTTCTTGAAAATTAATAACTGCATTTTCTATTAGTTAAAATAAATGTCATTATCACAACTAGTATTCGTGGAGTCCACATCGAAGGATGTCTGAAAAAGCTAGCCAAGGAAGGAGCAACTCCAACCAACGACGGCTTTTAGACCCGAAACACAAACGCAATCTTAAACTAATAATATAATAAGAAATAAAGTAGAAAGTGGAGACTGTAGTAAAGGCATAAATAAACCAAAAAGAGACTCACCCTAATGACCACAAAACTTGGTCACTGCGGGTCACAATGTTTCGGTCACTTCTAATGCGGGGAGTCTCGCTTTGATAATGCTCACATCCGCATTGAATTGAACCAAGTTTTGTGACCATTGGGGTGAATCTTTTGGTTTAATTAATAATAAACACTTATTAGCAATAAAAAATTTACAATTTTTTTAATTTGGAGCCGTTTCATGAACGGCGACAGAACTACTGAATGAATATAGTTGCGCATCAATGTGGCAGAGCAGGTTTAGCAGTTTTCGAGTTAGGTATCCTGATGAAAGCGCCGCCTCTGTTTGCAGGAGGAGCAAGACGTGGTTGAACAACTTCAGCGAGTCGGTTGTCGGTCGCACCGTTTCGTCCAAGAACCGCCGCGAGCGTCAGCTTCAACACACGAGTGTTTCGTAGAGGTGTAGCGAACGCGTTGCAGATGTTATTACGGCCCTTCTACGAAACAACGAAACCGTTTTCGAAAAAAATCCCGTTGATAATAGGTGCATGTGGACGTGTTTGTGTGTAGTTCGACATAAATATTTGTTGTGAAAAGTACGGTGCATACTTTTTCTAGTTCGTGTTGTACGTTGTCGTTTTAACGGCCGCTTCTTCTCTAGCCTTCGCATCGAACAACTTGAATTAAAGGTACGTATTTTTTTGCTTGGACATGTTTAAAAGGGCATTTGAGGGCCAGTTTTAGTGATGAAATCGTCGGGGTCGCGAAAACGAATCGATGAAATCAAGGAAACATGCGCTTGCCAGGGTGTTAGACACAGAAACGGTTTGTTTGTATTTATGTGGGTATACCTACTATGTGTTTGGGTAATGTTGTTTCACATGGAGTAGCTCAAGGCTCCCACTTTACAGTACCAGTACCGTTGTTTAGATCTAAACAAAATGATCTCGAGCGAAGATACTCCAACGGTCGTACTCGTACACAAAAAGAGCATCGCCCATTTTTTTTTTCCTTCCATACATTTATATTATAAAACAATGCTGGTACCATAAACATCGCCTAAATTGTTCGGCCTTTTTAAAGCACCTGAATTGTTTTGTAATTATCGAATTCTAAATTAATTCCTATTTATTCAAAACGAATGCCTTTGATTTTGAGAATTTTAATTCCAAATATTTTCATTATTAATTTTTTGACGAATACCTGCCTACCTATTATATTTAAAAAATTAAAAACATTTTCCCACAGTTTGTTTTATTTATTTACATTTAATACGTACGTACCTATTCTCAATTACTTGGATATAGGTAAACTTGTAAAATGTAGCTACCAAATTTAAAAAAATTACCCATCTAGAATTCCCTTGTTATTCGGATGTTATTTTTATAATCTCCGTATTCCACGCAAACAACATTCAATTTAAGGTTTAACCATTTTCACCTAAATCGTGGTTTTATGGGTTTCTACATTAGGCATATTTTGCAAATGTAAAAGAGCTTTTTGTTTTACTATTTAGGTGCAACATACGTCATGGGTTACTAATATGTAATATCCACAAATAGTGGTTGGAGAATATCGTCAAATCCGGTAGAGCTAATAGGTACATTTTATTTGCACAAATGGATATGTTTACATTTAATTTGTATGGTCTATTTGATTCGTTCTGTAAATTTACCATGTATAATTACGGACAATGTATCAATTTTACAACACAGTAATTACGGGTGAATAATCCAAAAATTTTTAAAGAAAACCTCACATTGGTAAATGACAAAATAACTTAAAAAATTTCTTTTTAACATTGGGATGACATGCAGGTAGGTATATTTCAGTTTGAATATTTTGATAGCGAAGTTTCGAGAGACTGTGGCAAATCATTAGGGATTAAACTGCTACACTCATCTTCATATAAACCTTTTTGAACTACATTTTCATTCAGGAACTAATTCTCAAAATAGATTCGTTTGTATATGACAATGATCGGAAAGAGAAATAATCAGCTCTTTCAGTTGGAAGTTGTAGTCTGTAGACATACATTAGATGTAGGTACTGACAGCTGAAGTAGTTTAGGGATGATATTGCAAGATAGTAAGCCTTTTTCAAC